TCGTGTCTTTTTTTAATAAAATACATTTGTTATTGTGGTAAAATACACATAACATAAAATTTACCATCATATTTTTAAAAATACAGTTCAGTGGTTTTTTTTTTTTTTTTTTGAGGAAGATTAGCCCTGAGCTAACTGCTGCCAATCCTCCTCTTTTCACTGAGGAAGACTGGGCCTGAGCTAACATCCATGCCCATCTTTCTCCACTTTATATGTGGGACGCCTACCGCAGCATGGCGTGCCAAGTGGTTTCATGTTCGAACCCTGGATCCAAACTGGTGAACCCAGGGCCGCCGAATTGGAACGTGCAAACTTAACCACTGCGCCACTGGGCCGGTCCCAGTTCAATGGTATCAAGTACAATCTTATTCTTGTGCAATCATCACCATCATCCATCTCCAGAATTCTTTTTATCTTGCAAAACTGAAACTCTACGCCCATTAAACAATAACTCCTCATTCCACCTTTTCCTAACCCCTGGCACGTATCATTCTACTTTCTCGCTCTATGAATTTGACTACCCCAAGTACCTTACATAAGTGAAATAATACAGCATTTGTCTTTTTGTGTCTGGCTTATTTTACTTAGCATAATGTTCTCAAGGCTCATTTGTGTTGTATATGTTGACCTAAAACAAATAAACAGCTACTTATTTTACCAGTAAAATGGGTTCATTTGGAAACAACAAAGAATTGCAAGTGGGGACATGTGGTCTATGGCAAACCACAAGCATATCCAGAGAAACAAAGGAGAAAAACATTCTTTTATGAAGCTGGGTGGGGCTGTTATAAACAAAGAGTCCATTGGAGGCACCTGGGAGTTCAAAGTCTAGGGAGTTTTCATTGGTAAGTTATGGCCGTCTCTCATTGGCTGAACTGTTGCTGGACAAGGAGGAATTTCTTCCTTCCTTCCTTCTGCTGGGGTAGTAAACTATATCACTTCCTGTGGGAGATGCAAGATATGTCTCTTCCTCTTGGGGTCTGTAGTGTGCATTAAGAGGCTCGTGCATGAGAGATCTCTCTTCCAGCCTCCTGACTCCATTTAAAATGAGGTTTCTTCTTACTAATTTTAACATACATATGTCAGAATTTCCTTCCTTTTTAAGGCTGAATAGTATTCCATTGTATATTTGTATCACATTTTGCTTACCCATTCATCTGTTGGTTTGCTCCTGCTCTTTTAGTGTTCTGAGACTCAATTTCAACATTGTGTGGAGGGCAGTTCCCACACACACAGCAAGCACTTCTCGGACACCAGCTGGGTGTCCAAGAATTCAACTCAATTCTGACACTATCTACCCAGAGACAGTGTCAGATTCTACAGGTTAAGGGTTCAGTCCTACAAGATTTCCCCACCCCCCACTTCAGATGCCAGTCGCAAGCCCAGGTTGTTACCTGTGCTTCTAACTGACCAGCTACAGATTTGAGGTTCCAATGACCCTCTCCAACTCAGGGTGCCAATTGCGAATGCAGGTTATTACCTGTACTTCTGACCTACTGGCTAGAAATCAGAGGTTCCCATGACCCCCTCCTCAAGTTAAATTAATTTGCTAGAGCAGCTCACAGAGTTCTGAGGAACATGTTACTTACTAGATCACTGCTTTATTGTAAAAGGATATAACTCAGGAATGGCTAGATGTAGAGCTGATAGGGCAAGGTACATAGGAAGGCGCACTGAGCTTCCATGCCTTCTCCAGACAAGCCACTCTCCCATACCTCCACATGTTCACCAACCCAGAAGCTCTCCGAACCCCGTCCTTTTTGGTTTTTATGGAGACTTCATTACTTTGTCATGGTTGATTAAATCATTGGTCATTGGCCACTGATTCAACCTCTAGGCCCTCTCTCCTCCATGGAGGTCAGGGGTGCGGGGGGCAGGGGGTAAGGGTAGGGTGGAACTGAAAGCTCCAACTCTCTAATCACATGGTTAGTTCTCATGGCAACCAGCTCCCATCCTTGGGTGGAGTCCAAAAGTCACCTCAATAACATAACCAGAGACACCTCTGTCACTCTCAACACTTAGGAAATTCCAAGAGATTTGGGAGCTGTGAGTGAGGAACCATGGACATAGACCAAATATATAATAAAATATATATATTTCAGGTGTCATCAGGCTCACTGAAAGCCAGGACTTTCCTGTGTGGCAGGTACCAGACCAGAGACAGTGGGGGAATGGTTGTTTTTTCTTTGTAAATTTGACCTAATATGTCCACCAGGGAACCATTTCTCACGTCCTAGGAGGATTCCAGGGTTCATAGGAATTCGGCTTCAGTGGATGATTCCTCCTCATCTACCGCTTGTAATGAGGCGTTAATTTCTGACCAGCTAAATCAGCTCTTTCATCTGTGTATGTGTTCAGTTCCCAGCATCAAATAAGGAGCCCGTTAAAGTCCTACTGCAAGCACCAGGGTGGTTTCACAAACCCTCTGTGTCACTTCAGGGTAGTATCCCAAGTCCCAGTAGATTATAGGCACCATCAGACTCTACTCACAGCCCATTTGGCAAACAGCAAGTGTGTCGAAGGCTCCCAGGGAGGGATGACCAGGTGTCTAAACGTCACAGTCCAGAGTAACCTTTTCCATGAAAGCGGCTGTGCCTCTCCGACAGGATCGAGGGTGAGCTATGGGAGGGCCCAGGGACCCCTGCAGGGAGTAGTTATGCTCTGTGTCGGGGCGGGGCAGGAGGTCCTGTGTAGCCTCCAGAGGAGGCAGCAGTGACGAGTATGTCAGCCAACAGGTTCCAGAGTTGGATGGGAGGACACACGGGGGAAGACCAGGGGAAGGGTGCTGTCACACCAGAAAGAGCTGGGACTGGACAGAAATGGCGAGACCTGGAGTCAGCTCTCAACAAGCCTGGGACCATCCCCAAATTGTATTTGATTCTCATTGTTGCCTTCCTTCTTTAGGCCTGTTTTCACTAACCGGGCCTCAGGGTCCTAATTTTGTCAGCTGAGAGACATCATGGATAACTGAGAAGAGAAATGAATGATGAGTCAGAAGGCGGGCCAGAGGCTGGGATGGGTGGGAACAGCATGGGCTCTAGATGAATCTGGACAGGGGTCTAATCTGCCTGTCGCTTACTAGCCATGTGATCCTGGGAAAGTTAGCAAGTGCTGTGAGTCTCTGGCTCTTCCCCTTGAAGGCAGTGGGTTGGTGAGCCCTTCTTGTAGGACTGCAGGAATGGATGGGATGTGTGGAAAACATCTGGCACAGTGCCTGGTATATATGGGATCTTTGAGGACTGGCACTTATTTCTAGGATTATTTTTCTTTTTGCTGAGGAAGATTGGCCCTGAGCTAACATCTGTGCCCATCTTCCTCTATGTTGTATGTGGGATGCTGCCACAGCATAACTTGATGAGTGGTCCATAGGTCCGCACCCAGGATCCAAAGCTGGGAATCCTGGGCCGCAGAAGCAGAGTGTGCGAGCTTAACCACTATGCCACCGGGCCAGCCCCTCTAGCATTGTTTTGATCCCAGATTTTCCACTCTCTCCTCTGGAATTTTGCTTGTTTGTTATCCAAGTCATACCAGAGAATATGTAGCTTAAGAGGACATGGAATAGCTAATCAGCCAAAAAGGATGTTTCATAAATAAAACTCAGTAAATCTTCCCAGCTAGAGGATATATGTGAAAATTCGGGGGTGGGGGAGTCTTCCCAGCTGGATGGAACACAGAGCTCCTAGAAACAGAGTCAAGGACCGACTCCTTGCCTCCCTCCAAGCTGCTCTTCATCCAGACCACTACTTCCTTTCATTTCACCCCACCAAAATCTAGCCCTTGATTACAATTGGCCAATTAAACTCAATTAAGATTAACACCTAATTTATGCTGTGGGCTCTGGTTCTCCCAGGCCTGGGAGAGGAGTGCCAGGCCACTGACTTCTGGGCATCACTTCAAAGGAATGTCACCGTATTTCTCAGGAAATCCTTGGAGATGATGGCTGTCAAACACCACGTTCTTCACTGTGTTCAACGGCAATGCGACAAGAGCCCAGGACACCTTCCCTTCCTGCCCAGGTGGAGATTTCTCTCTGGTTACCTGTGATCCCTAAGAAACTCTTCAGAGAAATTTTCCAGTTCAGACTTGCCCCTCAGCCCTAAGACACACTGTGAGTCTGGCCATTGCCACCACCAAGCTTCATGACAACCAACTCCCACAGAAGGAATCACAGTTTCCCGAAGCCCCACACTGCCCTGGCTCGGGGCGTTTACACGTGAGCCCGCTCTCCTCGGGCCGCACCACCTCCCACCTTCTTTGACTTGTCCTGGAGGGGACACCTCACCATTTTCCTTCTAGGACTGCGGCTCCTAGACTCTCATTCTATGGTTGTGAGGGGGCCCTGCTTACCCTCGTGTCCCCACAGCTGACACAGAGCCACCAGAGAGCAGAGGCTCAGCAAATGTCTGGGGACGAAATGAGCCAGTGAGCAGAGAGTTGATTTGCTGCTATTTAATTTCTTCTACATTCTTGGATAAGTTAAGAAAATCTTGGTATATATCTCTTCATTTTACACAATGATAGTCTAAAAATGATAATTCAAAAAGGAACCGTTTAAATTTTTTCTCTTTTACTGCTAAGTTCTTTCACATTTCCAGTGAAATTCCTATTCCAATGTCAAGTTATCTTGTTACAGAAGAAATAAAACAGAAGGTATTCCTCTTTTATTTTTTCACAAAATGGCAAAACTTTCTTTTAAACTGGATAAATAGCAATAAATGTGTGACCAATGTCATTCATAAACTTAGATTTGGAAGCTAACACATGTTCAATTAAAAGTAACAACATTTTAAAATGTAAAAAATAAAAGAAGAGGGGCCCGCCGGGTGGTGTAGCGGTTCAGTTAGTGCCCTCCACTTTGGTGGCCCAGTTTTCATGGGTTTGGATCCCTGGCACGACCTATGTGCTGCTAATCAAGCCATGCTGTGGTGGCGTCCCACGTACAAAAGATAGAGGAAGACTGGCATAGATCTTAGCTAAGGGACAATCTTCCTCAAGCAAAAAGAGGAAGATTGCCAACAGATGTTAGTTCAGGGCCAATCTTCCTCACCACAAAGAAGAAGAAAAACAGAAAGAAAAAGAAGATGATACATTTCAAAGTCACCCCTATGGAACAGGAACACAAAGCTGTTATGCCCTATAATACCCTCAGCCCCAGCCTGACCCTCCACTGCTTAGATCATTGACTGCCTTCCTAAAACACAGAGTGAAGAATCTGCTTTAGACTTCACTCAGGGCAGGAGGAGCTACTGGGCACGGTACTACAACTTGCACTGGCCGTGTCAGTAGCATTATCCGTGCTGGCAATTCTGGCCTGAACTCTCTCTTCCTGATCTCTCAAAGCTTCCTCATACGACACTGGGAAGGACCTGGGGTCACTCCCAATGGCACTGGCCAAAAACTCCAGGAGACTCATCTTGCTGGTTTCAGCGTGGGCCCTGGGACCCCACAGGAACTCGTAGCGAGCAGGATCGCTGTTGGGCACCTGCCGGTACTCCACGTACTGCTCCTGCACCCAAACTTTAGTGATAAGCTCCCTGGGCTCCCCGTAGATGAAGTGCTCCCTCCCGGCATGCACCCCCATGACACTCAGTGCTTCCCAGACGTCCTCCTCGGGGGCACAGTCGCCCTGCAGGAGGATGACGCCCAGGAGCATCACCAGGAGGCCGGTATTGGGCATGCTCTGCTCATCGCTCAGCATCCCATTGTAGGTGAGGCCTAGGGTGGTGACCAGGACATAGGCGTGGTCGCTGGGGTCCACTTCCTTCACGTCAACGCCAAAGATGAGGTTCATGCGCTCAGAGGCTTCACTGAAGATCACAGGGAAGTGGTCCTGGTGATCTCTGAGGACCGTATTCAGCATCTCCGCCTTTGTGGTGGGCTCCTTTGTGCGATACTTGACAAGCAGGAACTCCACCAGCTCAGCCACCTTGCCATCAATCACGTTTCTGGGAAAGGACGCAGTGTATGGCAGGGCCTGTGAGGTGCTCGGACCCTCCTCTCCTCGGCTGCTGGAGCTGTCGTCTTCAGACTGGCTCAGTGGAGGGGAGGCCATGGCAGTGGGGGAGGGGCAGGCACTCTGAGAGCTCTGGGGAGGACTCGGGGCCCCAGCGACATCATCAACCTCCTCTGGTGTGCTCGACAAGAGAGGATAGCAAGAGGAAGAGGAGGAGGAGGGGAAAGAGGAGGGGAAAGATGAGGAGCAGGTGGAGGACGAAGAAGTATCCTCTTCCACAGCCACAGGAAGCAGTGCACCCACTGGGCCCTGCGTCTCGCTTTGGGACTGAAGGCCTTCCTCAAGCATGTAGCGCCGTCGCTTTGGAGCACGAGGCATGATGACTCCTGTCAGGGCAGCCGACAGGAGCGTGGGCAGGAGGCGACCAATGGGGACCCACGGGCCTGGGGGGAGAGGGAGTGTGAGCAGCCTTAGGTGAGAAACACACCCTTGGCGGCTCTGACAGAGGTGACTTACGGGCCTCCTCTTAGGGGCACTCTCGGCTTCACAGGGCTCTGTTGTCCAGGGCGGCCTGTGTCCTAGGGATCTGAAGGAAGAAGTGAGTCGGCCCCTCAGGGAGCACCCAGCACAGCCCGAGGTTCTGGGGCTGACTGTGGGCTGGGGTGGGGTGGGCTCCAGATCTGTGGGGTCTGACAGGAGGGCTGGGCTGGACTCTGTGAGGTCGCCAGAGCTCTGGGGTGGGCGGTGCCCTCTGAGCTCACTCAGGGTCCTCACCTTTCCCCTGGCTGGTCCTGGGCCCCACCGTGCTGCTGCCCTGAGGCAGACATCTCAGAACAAGACCACGCACCCCTGAGACTGAGTAGAAGGAAGCGAGGGGGCCCACATCTGGCCACAGTTGCAGAGGGGCTAACAGGAGGCACCAAGGGACAAGAAGTGAGACCCAACGCTGTGGGTTCCATCTGTCCTGGGACGGGTGGTCCACTCAGTCTTCACCTTGACACCCTGCAGGGCCTGGGTCAACTCCTCTGTTGACCTGAGGCCACCCTCCTTCGGCCAAGGCCTGGATTCCCGAAGACACCGGAAGGGGAAGTGAGGGGGACTGAATCCACCCACCGATCCCAGGTGTCCCCACGGCAGACAGCAGGGTAGGGCTGGCCTGGGCTGCACGTGTCCCGGTGTGTGGGGGGGTCCCCAAACCCTCACCATGACCCCGGCCAGGGCCTGGGATCCTGCCTCTGCTGACCTGAGTCCAGACCCTCACATCGAGGCCCTTGCCCCCTTCCCGAGACACTGACCTGGAAATGAGGAGGGGCTCAGCCAGACAGGCCCTGCCGGGGGTGCCAGGGCTGACAGTAGGGCCAGGCCAGATTTCCATGGGGTCCCACTTTGTCCTGGCGATGGGGGTACCCTCACTCCTCCCTCGGGGTCCTCACCTTGACTCCTGGAATGTGTGTCAGCTGAGCAGATGTGCTTCCTCAGATGACCTGACGTTGTCCTCGCAGACCAAGGTCCTCTCCTCCCTGAACCTCTGAGAGAAACCGGAGGAGATTGCACATCCACGCCCACCCGCCTGCCCCCACCGCCGCCATCCCAAAAGGCTGGCAGCAGGGACCAGCCCTGTAGCCTGGGGTGGGACTTCCCCCAGTACTCCTGTAGGTTATTCGTCTTTCCTCCTGGCCCCCCGTCTGGGACAGCTGACATCTCCCCCTTAGACCAGGCCCTCTCCTCCTGAGGGCCCCCCACTTTCCTGCCCTGGCTAGAAGTGAGCGTGCCATTTCGGACCACCGCTGACTGTTCCTTCCAGGGCTGAGAACAGGGGACAGCCGGACTATGTGCCATCCTTTCTTTGCTGAGGTAGGGGGTACACTCAGTCCTCAGGGGGGTTCCTCACCCTGACACCAGGCAGATCCTGGGACCCTGCCCTCGGCTGACCTGTCGTGCCCCTCAGACCAAGACCTCACCTCCCTGACATCCCCCATCCCCAACCATATGACGGAAGTCGGAGCAGGCCACGTCCAGCCCTCCCTGCCCCGGGGCCTCCCTGGGCCGAGAACAGGGGAAGCTGGCCTCTGTGAGGTCCCTTCTCTTCTGGGGTGGGGGGAACCTCCATGCCCTCTGTTCCTCCCAAAGGCTCCTTGTCTGGAGTCCGGGCAGATCCGGGACCCCTTCCTCTGCTGACCAGATGTGGCTCCCTCTGCTGACCCGCCGTCGCCCCACAGAACAAGGCCTCACCTGGCAGAGCCCGAGGCAGAGGTGAGTGGGCTGCACCACCAGCCGCCAACCCTGCCTGGGGTCTTCAGGGGTGACAGAGGCAGGGCCGATTTCAGTGGGCCCCCCTCTGCCTGGGGTGGGAGTCCCCTCAGAGTCCTCAAGGTATTCCTAGTTACTCCTGGCCAGGCCTGGAACCTTCCCTTCTGCTAACCCGAAGTAGCATCCTGCAGGCCAAGGCCACGATGCCACTGAGACCCCGAGCAGGAAGTGGACGGGCCACCCCTCCTGACATCCTGCCTGGCCTCCCAGGACTGACCACAGGGGCAGATTTCTGCTGGGGTCGCCTATGCCTGGGCTGAGGGTCTGCTCAGTCGTCCCTCGGGGTCCGGGGACCCCACCCTCGGCTGACCTGAAGTCACAGTCCTCACCTCCCGAAGACTCCGGAGGCAGAAGGCTGGACACGCCTCCTCAGGTGGCCCTCTCTGGGGCCTCCCAAGCCCGAGCGCAGGGCCACAGGAGGCCGCCCTCTCCGTCCCCTCATGTGCTGTTCCTATGACTGAGTCCCCAGTTTCTCTCAGATCAGGATGCGAAAGGCGGGAAAGGCCGCCACTGGTGATGGCGCCCCAGGGCCTCCCGGGGCTTATGGCAGGGGCGTGTTTCTGTGGGGTCTCCTTTGTCTTCCCTCAGGGTCCTTAGCTTGAGCCTGTCAGGTCCCGGGACCCTCCCTCTGTGGACCTGAGGCCCTCACTCCCCTGAGACCCCACGGGAAGTCTGTGGAGGTCACCTCAGAGCCACTAAACCCGGGGACGCCCAGGGCTGATGGCAGGGGCCAGTGGGGGGTTACTCCCTGGGGTCCTTGGCCACCCTCTGCTCCTTCCCTGACCCCCAGCATGGCCTGGCCCCGCCTCTGCCCCTGAGTCCGCTCCCTCCCCCGGGCCCTCCCCAGCAGGCTCCTCTGAGGAGGGGGGCGGGGGCTCAGCCTGTCCATCCCCCGTCCCCCAGGGTCCCTCAAGGCTGACAGCAGAGGCAGACCTGGACGCCCTGGGTCTAGTGTTCTCCCTCCTGGGGCTCCCTGGGCCCCTGGCCGGGACTGGCCTCCTTCCCTCTGCTGCCCTGAATCCGGCCTCCCTCAGCTAGGCCCTCGGCGTCCCCAGACCTCCGAGGCGGAAGCCAGGGGACGTCACATCCGGTCACCGTGGCCACGGGTCTCCCAGGGCTGACAGCACTGGCAGAGAGGCATCCGGGGGTCCCTCTGCCAGCCCTCTGCTCCTCTCCTTGTCTCTGGCCGGGCCTGGGCCCCTGCTCCTGCACCCTGAATCTGTGCCCATCACCCCCAGGCTCTGACCCCCTGTTGGCTGCGGAGGGAGCGGGTAGCCCTCGGCTGGCAGCCCTGCCCGGGGCCCCCCAGAGCACACAGGAGGGGCGCAGGGCTTCTGTGGGCCAGTGCTCTGGGGCGGGGCAGCCCTCCGGCCTCCCTCGGGAGGGTCCTCGTCCACCCTGGCCGAGAAGGGCTGCCATCCCGGGGAAGGGCTGGATGGGGGCTGTGGCGCCCAGGGCCGAGGGGTTCACAGGAGAAGCCCCCTTCCCGTGGGGTCTCGGCACCAGCGAGCCGGACTCTGCAAGCCATTTCTTTTCGGGATCGCGTTTGTGCTGACGAGGCTGAGCAGCTGCGGGGGCTTCAAGATGCTCCTCCGGGTTTATGGTGACCTCCCATTGTGTGCTCAGTGCAGGGATTTTCACTCATTTATCCTCCTTCCTAGTAAGAAATACATTGTACATCTCTGCCCACTGCAGGAGCCCTGTATCTACATCTAGAACAGGTTTGTAGCTTATATGTGTTTCTAGACGCGTGTGTGGACATGCCACGGGAGTATGCACCTAGGCACGTGTATATGCACGTATGTTCCTATTAGGTCTTTATAGCTATATGTAGACTATATGTGTGTATGCTTATTTCATGAAAGAATACCTTCTCTTTCTCTAATATGACTACCTCTGATACTTGCTATTCTGTTTCTTGTCTATTCTTTTTTTTTGTTACATAAAGATTGGCCTTGAGCTAACATCTGTTGCCAATCTTTTTTTTTTCTTTTCCCCAAAGCCCCTGCAGTACATAGCTGTATATTCCAGTTGTAGGTCCTTCTATTTGTGCTATGTGGGATGCTCCCTCAGCATGGTGTGATGTGCAGTGCTAGGTCTGTGCCCAGAATGGGAACTGGCAAATCCCTGGTCCTGGAAGCAGAGCTCACAAACTTAACCACTTGGCATAGGGCCGGCCCTCTTCTCTATTCTTTACATTATATTAAAATGAGAATCTTTTGAAAAGCCAGTCCTCACCCACTAAGATGGTTTTAGGTGATTATTAGCACAAACTCCAAAGTCAAATGCCTCAATCAACCCATCTTTCCTGTTGTCCATGTTTTGCCCCCGGCCACTGGCCCATGTGGTCTGAGGGCTTGCTTGTGATGTGTGCAGTGAAGTAGGAGCAGAAGTTTGAAATTTTTCCTCCTGCCCATCCTGACATCTGCATCTTTATAGCCTCCAGCCCCTCTCAACTTGGCTGCCTGCTACTCAGACCCTTACCCAAACACAAGTACTGGGCTCATCACAGTCTTCAGTCTCCCCCCAGGCTTTCTCCTGTTTCGTTGTTCAGATATTGTTGATCTCCCCCTCCCCTTCTGTAGTTTTCAACGATTGATTTGGGGAGCAGGAGTCAGCTGTCTGAGCTTGGTTGTTATCTTGGAAGCTACAAGTAAGGCACTAAATCTATAAATCATTTAAGCAGAATTGACATGGTTGTAATTTTCTAGTTTCCATTAATGAATAAGATATACTGGCCAATTTATTTGGGACTTCTTTTACCTGAATCTATCATAAATTTGTATACTTACATATATTTATATAGAGATATATATATATAAAATTATATAACCACATATATGACACAGATCATATATATGTATAATATACATTATTGTGTATAATTATAGTTTTATATATATAAGTACATAAATCTTGTATATTTTTGATTGGCTTCTTTATAGATAAATTTTGGGTGTTGTTGCTGTTGTGAATAGGATATTTTCTATCACATGTTCTAATTAGTTACTGATTTTGCGTGGCAGAGCTCTTGATTTTGCTATAGTGAGCTTCCATTTACTATCTGAAGTCTCATTCACTTGAATATCCTATGTACTTATTCTCTTAACTCTTCAAAATAAGTGATCAGGTTGCCACCAAACCCTATCTCTTTACTTTCCATATTCATACATCTTATTTATGTGACATCCATAGCTCTGGCTTTGTGTTCCAGTAGTTATGAATGGTAGAGGTGTAGTTGCTGACTTTAATAGGAATGTTTCTAACATTTCACGTTTAAGTATGTTTACTATCTATTTTAGGAAATAGAAGTTCTTCTAATCTTGGTTTGCTAAAACTTTTTACTATGAACTCGTTTTGAATTTCTTTAAAAGATTTTTTATTTAGCCATTGATATAATCAAATTAATTTTACTTCCTCTAATTTGTTAACATAGGGAATTACAGTTGAAAGTACTTTCTCATGTTAAATCTTATTTTCATTCCTTAGATACAGACTTTGGTAATTTAATTCACTACTGTGTTGAATATGCTAGAAATTTATCTAGGATATTTGTTGCTATGTGAGTGAACTTGGCACAAATATTCTTTTTGTTATATATCTACAAATAGGTTTTGAATCAAGAATAGTTAGCCTGGGAGAATGAGTTGAACAATTGTCCACCTTTTTATATGTTTTGAAGAGTTGACATAAGATAGTGATTAGTTTTCCCTGACTATTTGGTAGAATTGGCCCCCTAAACTGCCTGTCCTGGAACATTTGAGGGTAGCTTGAGCTTTGAGTACAGTTTCAGTTTGTATCGTTAGATTAAGGTTTTCTGATTCTTTATGGGCTAACTTGCTCACTTTTTTTCCTAAAAAGTGGTCAGTTTCACTTAGAATTTCAAATTTAATGACATGATAGTTACAATGAAATGTTTTCTTACAGAAAGTTTAAAACATATACAATAGTAGAGAGAATAGCATAATGAACCCAGTATACCTGACATTCAGAATCAAAATCCTTAAATACATGGCCAATCTTGTTCCAATTATTTCCCCATCTAGCTTGCATCTCAGCTGCTGGAATGATGTGAAGCAAATCCAAGACATCATATCATTTTATGTCTAAATAATTCAATATATGTTTCTAAAAGATAAGGACTTTTTTAATAAACCATAAACCCAATATAATTACCATTTCAAAAAAATTAAGTAAGCCATTAATATCATCAGTTATTTTTCATGTTTACTTGATGGTCTTATACTTTTTCAAAAATTTGAATTGGTGTCCAAATTTGTGAATTGGTTGTCCACACCAACAAGGCCAGCTGTGCCTGGCCCTGTTCTAAGTGCTTTGCATATCTTATCATAAGTCCTTAATGTGGAAAGCTTATGTGTAGGGAAAAGGAGGTCCAGAGAGGCCAAGTGACTTGCCTAAGACCTCACAGCAAGTTAGAGGCAGAGCCAGGAATTTAAATCCCAGGGTGTGAAACCTGTCACACCCTGGACCAAGGTGTGATGGTCCACACCTTGTGATTATTCATTATGTTCCTCAAGTCTTTTAAAAATCTATAAATTTTTATTTATAAAATAAACCAGTGGCCGAGTGGTTCAGTTTGTGTGCTCCGCTTTGGTGGCCTGGGGTTTTGCTGGTTCGGATTCTGGGCATGGACATGGCACCACTCATCAAGCCATGCTGAGGTGGTGTCCCACATAGCACAACCAGAAGGACCTACAACTAGAATATACAACTATTTACTGGGGGGCTTTGGGGAGAAGAAGAAGAAAAAAAGATTGGCAACAGATGTTAGCTTAGGTGCCAATCTTTAAAAAAAAACCTATAAATTTCCCTCACATCACCTCTTTTTCCTTATAATTTCTTTTGTTGGAGAAAAAAAAACAGGGGAGTGACTGGCCCCGTGGCCGAGTGGTTAAGTTCGCCTGCTCCACTGCAGGCGGCCCAGTGTTTCGTTGGTTCGAATCCCGGCCACAGACATGGCACCACTCATCAAACCACGCTGAGGCAGCGTCCCACATACCACAACTAGAAGGACCCACAACTAAGAATATACAACTATGTACTGGGGGGGGGGGGGTTGGGGAGAAAAAGGAAAAAAATAAAATCTTTAAAAAAAAAACAAACAAAAAAAAAACCAGGGGAGAGTGATGTCAGCGTGATGGAGGAGTGAGCTTTCCCAGTAATCTCTCCCCTCCAACATACAGCAAAAAAGACATTCATACTTCAACAGAGGACATCCAAACAACACAAAAACACCTGAGAGACCCATACAGCCATATGATGGAGGGCAGAGAGGCTGGAGTGCCCCCTCAGAGGAGGTGGAACAGGGTAATAGAAAACTTTGCTTCCTCCCCTAAAGACTGCGGACTGGGACCGCAGGAGGCCTTCAAGAGGGAAGTAACAGGGGAGGGGACATTCATTCGCAGGATCCCTGAAGTTCCTTGCAGCCTAGAGGGAAGACTTCTACCAGGGTGAAAGCTTTCATGGGGGGTGACCTCATTAAGCCAACACCCCAGGAGAACAGATAGTGAGAGCAGAGTGAGAAAACCTCAAGAGCACGCAGTAGAAACCGCCCCTCCTCCCACCCACCCAGCACTGGCTCCAGCACCTGGCATCTTGGCAGAAGGCACAGGGCTCAGAATATGTGGCTTGTGACCCCCACCCAGTAGCTATAGGCAGTAACTGCAACCAAATAATACCAGGATGCATCAAAACAGAGCCATGCCCTCTAGCAATATCAAACATTATATTAAATCTCCAGACCAGAGAGAAAATGACAAGTACCCAGAAATCAGTCCTGAGGACACCGAAATATGTAACCTAAATGACAAAGAATTAAAAATAGTTATAAAAAACTCAGTGAGTTAAAAGAGAATGTAGGGAAACAATTCAACAAGTTCAGGAGCTACTTCACAAAATTGAAACTGTAAAGAAGAATCAATCAGAAATGTTAGAGATGAAAGGCACAATGGAAGAAATAAAACAAAATCTGGATTCCCTAAACATTCAAGTGGACATCATAGAGTAACATATTGTCATAATTGAAGATAGACATGTTGAAATGCTCCAGATAGAGGAGGAGAGACAACTAAGACTAAAAAGAAATGAAGAAAGTCTCTGAGAAATATCCAACTCAATTAGGAAATGCAACATAAGAATTGTAGGTATTCAAGAAGGAGAAGAGAAGGAGAACAGAGCAGAAAGCTTGTTCAAAAAAATAATAGCACAGAACTTCCAAAACCTAGTGAAGGAGACGGA